TTGGTATAAACCGATGGCTTCTATTATAAATTATGGGCATTTAAGAATATTTGTGGAAATTTCGTAGATTATTTTGTTCAGGTTAGGTTTCAACAGTTTTATGTATATAGTTTCAAGATTTTTTAGTTTTTGTTTATTGTTTTCATGTTTAAGTATAGTTGTATTTTCAACGAGGATTTTCCGGATTTGTGTACGCGGCCAGGCATGTTCTTTAAATGATGATTTCCTTTCGTCTTTCATTGATAATGTTATTAAGCTTATAAGACAATATGAAAGGAACTTACTTAAAATAGACACAACTTGTCTATATTATTTAATGAAACATGCATCAATATATATATATATATATATATATATATATATATATATATATATATATATATAGCTGGCCACTCGTATTCGAGGATACCCGTCTACTTGGCGAATTTGTGTTTATTCAACGCCCATCGATTTATACTGCAACTATACTGAGCAGACCTTAGTTACAGTTTCTGGGAAAGAAAGTGTTATCTAGCGAAGATCAACAATTTGAACAAGGCCAGCACGCTCAATCCGTCGGCCACGATGACTTGTGACGTTGTGCTAGCACAGCTATTGATGTCTACCCAAGGCTTGGGTCAACCCGTGGTATGGTTTTCAGGCACTTTCCGATCGACCCCTCGAGTCCGATAACCTCTTCCTGGGTTTCATGGTCAGAATTCGAACGTTTTAACCACTCATCTACGTGCCCATAATACATATATATATATATATATATATATATATATATATATATATATATATATATATATTTAAACATGTTTGGTTGAATAATCTGGATATATGTCTATTCATTTTTATTTTACTTCTCTCAGATCAACTTCTTAATGTTGTTATTAAATTCATTAGGGAAGGCTCCATAGTTTTTTTTTTTCATTTCTTTTTTTTTTCCCAAGAACGTTCAACCCAATGCAAGATTATAGTCAATGGTGAATTGATAAGAAAAAAATACAATCGTATAAGTTAATGTTGCCTCCCTCATATAACATAAAAATTTAGCGGTTAATTTTTAAATTAACTATAACAGAGCGCGTTCATACGTGTTTATTATTATAATACAGCGCGTTCCATGCGCATTTACAAAAAAATAAAAATTAAAACATAACTATCAATTACATGAATTCCTTGTCTTAACAAAACAGTATTAAATACAGTTACCGTCCTGAATGCCCGAGGAATTTCAAAGAAAATATGTCTCCTCCGACAGGAACCAAACCTGTATCCTACACAGAATCATCATTTGGCATGACACGCTATACCATTTAGCTACAGAGGAAGTGTTTACCTGGCAAAATCAAATTACTCTTGTTAACAACAAATTTCGTATGATTTTCTTCGAAGGCTCATATATGCTCGAAGCGTATCTTAACGTAAACAAAAGACAGCATATATTATGAAATGAACCAAGTTCGACGATCATTTTAATATATTTTTATACATTTTTATAAACATTTAGGCCAGTAAATATAGTTATTACTGTTTAATGGCAACTAATCCCGAAAAAATGTTGTGTGTTTGTTTATTGTCACTTTTTGTTTTAGTAATATAAACCATGCAAACTGGTTTCTGAAAATAATTTAAAAGCGAGTAATAATTTACAAAGAAACTTTAGCACTCCATAAGTTTTTCTTTGAGGAGTCGAAAATTTGAGAAATCAGTATTATTCCCATGTCAGTCGAAGTATAATAAAAACTAATTTATTTATTTAAGCTATACTATTTATAGGAAATTTTTGGATCAGAGGAAGTTAAAAGATAGATTTATTAAATTTATAAGTTAATAAATATATATTTCCCAATTTTAATATTAAGTTTCAGGAGGGAATAGATTGTTAATCCTTTTCCTGGATGTGATGTTTCAGTTTTTTGAGCATACGACAAAGAAATGTTTGTCTGTTTTTTCAACGCCTTTCATCAGCGTCTCAAACAACATCGCTGATTGGTCAGTAAATGCTAATGTGGAAATTATGAGCCTATTTTATCACAGATTGACATCTTAGTGATACTGCTTAAATCGATTGATTTTTTTAAGTATTTTTAACTGAGTTTCACGCGTGTAATACTTTTCCTTTAAGAGCACGGTAGAGTCCATCGGAAGATGACACTTTATTCCTAGCAGATCTTTGATTCTATATAGAAGCCTCAATGCATTTCAGTGGGGAAAAAGAACCTCATAAAGTTCAATATTTCTAAAACCTAGCTTATATCATTCCATTATCACTGATCGGCCCTTGAGCTTTTCACGTCAAGAGGAAATACACAAATGATAATTATTTAAAATAGAAATATCGTTAATAAAAAATTTAGTAAGAAAAAACATCCTTATAACCTTAAGTTATATGATACTCGCAAATAGTCAACTACAAAAGAGTACTCGATAAAGAATGCCACTAATATTTTAAGATTTTCATTTACGTCGCGGTATTTCTTGGCGATCTTGATTTTTTTGGAAACCTGTTCTTACTTTTGCAATATAAATTTTCTGTAAGTCATGTTCTCTTTTAAGAGCATCTAAGAATTTCCATATTGTGAGATGACGGGATGACACTTGCTGCAAAAAAACTCTATGCTATCGCTGAAGGGTGTTATTAATTCTAGGTAAATCAGCATTGACTCTCTCAAGGCAAGGTTACATACGTACTTCAAAGATAGGTATTTCAAATAATTATCATTTAGTATAATTGTCCTTTTGATTAACTTTTATTCAAAGAATTTACAATCGACTTTTTTGTCACATATAAGAAAGTATTCTGAATTTTAAAGCTATTAGAATTAAAATATTCCAAGTGATTTATGAGCGTACCGAGAGAATTGTTTGAAAACAATTGTTTGAAAACAATTATTTGAAAAACATTATTCAAAAAACAGTTATTTGAATTGTAAATTGTTTGAATGAAAATTATTCGAAAGAACAATTATACTTAATGATAATTATTTGAAATACTTATATTTGAAATATGTGTGTAGCCTTCAATGCTGATTTAACTGGAACTAATAACGCCCTTGAAGGATAGAATAGGGCTACGCAATTTTTTTATTGCAATAAAAATGTAAAAATTCAAAAAGGAAATACAAAATGATAATTATTTGAAATATAAATATCATTAATAAAAAAAAAATTAGTAAGAAAAAATCCTTATAACCATAAGTTATATGATACTGCATGCAAATAGTTAACTACTGAAAAGTACTCCTAAAAGGATGCCACTAAATGTTTCAGTTTTCCATTTTCGTTGCGGTAGTTCTTGGCGCTCTTGAGATTTTGGCAACTTGATCTTACTTTTGCAATATAAATTTCTTGCAAGTCCTGTTCTTTTTTAAGAGCGTCTAAGAATTTCCATATTGTGGGATGAGGGGATGACACTTGCAGCAAAAAGCCCTATTCTATCCTTCAAGTGCGTTATTAGTTCTAAGTAAATCGGCACTGACTCTCTCAAAGCAAGACTACATACGTATTTCAAACATAGGTACAGTGAGTACCCCCGTATTCGCGGGGGTTAGGGACCAGAACCGACCGCGAATATTTAGAATCTGCAAATACTTCTAACCCCACAAATGTGCTTATAACTACGTATTTTGATTGTTAAAATCCTATGTGCTTTAAACTTTCATCCTAAACATTTTAGAAACATTTCAGACTCTTTTAAAACATTTTTGAAAAATAGTATTGGTGACCATACACTTAGCATAAATTTTCTTTCATACGTACAATAACCGTTTTTAATCACGCATAGATTGATACAACCTTTGAAAATTTTGAATAAAATATGTGTAACAAGGTATAAAATATAAAGTTTAAAACATTTTCTAAAAAAAGAACTTTAATGATGTTCCCAGACTTAGCATATAGCACTTTTAAGACCCCAGCCGCAGCACCTCACAAAGAACAAAGCCCAAGCACTACGCATGTTTTTGCATATGTTTTTTTTACAATGAAGATGTAAAATTTTGTCAATTTGTACCATAAAAATAGACTGTTAAATGTTTTCAGTCACTTAAATAAGAGGAAAATAATCCAAGAATATTTTAAATAAGTTCTATCGAAAAAATACGCTAATGGAGGCAGTTCACAGCGAATAATTTTTACATATGTTCTTCAGAAAAAAAACGCGAATATTGGGGGTTTCTGTGAATAACAAGTACATATGTTTGAAACCGCGAATGTGTGAAACCGCGAATGTGTGAAACCGCGAATGTGTGAAACCGCGAATGTGTGAAACCGCGATTGCTGAAACGCGAATAGAAGGGGCTCACTGCATTTCAAATAATTATCATTAAGTATAATTGCTCTGACGATAAATTTTCATTCAAATAATTTACAATTCGAATGTTTTTCAAATAATTGTTTTCGAATGTTCATATAATCATGTTGGAAATAGCGTTTCTTTCCTATAATAATGCAACGTATACGAGAGTAATCTTGCAAGTGTCTGTAATGATAAGTATGTATAATGTCTGTGGAATTCAGGTTGTATCTGACAGGACCTAGGAAAGAAAGAATCAATCAGTCAGGCATAATAATTTATTTGGAGAGCCCACATTTCTAAGCCGCGTTTTTAGGTTTTCCCGAAGATCAGTGAATCACTGACCGCAGATTTTGCAAAGGCTTACGCATGCGTGAGATTATCCTCCATTGTAAGTGTTTTTTTTTTTTGTTTTTTTTAAGAAAAAAAGAAAAGAATATACGTTTTTGGAGCGAGTTTGCGTTAGCCCACTGCGGTGTTTCATCGTGTCTATCGCACAACAGATTGTCAAGTGACAGGACGCGTGACGGCAGCACTCAATCACGTGACTTATGACCGTCTGCCAATACTGCTGACTCGAGGTGAAACTGCCGTCACAAATGACATCGACCGTTGCCAACAAACGGAGCAACCATAACAACGGCAGTAATGCCATGAATCGAAATGAAGAGCAGATAGCAGAAGTAATGGGAAAACCTCTAACGGTGCAGTGTGTCAGTCGACATTACGGCCATAAACCTCAATGAAACGGTTCCGATCTTAAAATCTATATCTATCTATCTATCTATCTATCTATCTATCTATCTATCTATCTATCTGTTTATCTATCTATCTATCTATCTATCTATCTATCTATCTATCTATCTATCTATCTGTTTATATATTTATATGTCTATCTATCTATCTATCTATCTATCTATCTATCTATCTATCTATATATATATATATATATATGTGTGTGTGTGTGTGTGTGTATATATGTTTACATATATATATGACTCAGTGTGGTCATGTTATCTATCTATCGATCTATATATATATATATATATATATATATATATATATATATATATATATATATATATATTCATAGATATCTGACTCAGTGTAGTCATGGTATCTATCTATCTATCTATCTATTTGATTTCATAGATATCTGATTTAGTGTGGTCATGGTATCTATCTATCTATCTATCTATATATATATATATATATATATATATATATATATATATATATATATATATATATCTTTTCATAGATATCTGACTCAGTGTAGTCATGGTATCTATCTATCTATCTATCTATCTATCTATCTATCTATCTATCTATCTATCTATCTATATATATATTCATAGATATCTGACTCAGTGGGGTCATGGTATCTCTCTCTCTCTCTCTCTCTCTCTCTATATATATATATATATATATATATATATATATGTACACACATATATCTTTTCATAGATATCTGACTCAGCGTGGTCATGGTATCAATCTATCTATCTATCTATCTATCTATCTATCTATCTATCTATTCACAGGTATATGTTTCAGTGTTGAAAAGAGCAGAAAATGGTGCTCGATTAAAACATTTGGTGAGCGAGATAGGATTTTGAGTATTATTTTTTTCTTGTTGTTGTAGAGAGCCATGATCGTTTACTTCCTGGAGGGATTCGGCATATAATAGAAGAAGAACAAACTTTTACGAAACAGCTTTGCTATGCTTTGGAATGTTTCCTATAAAGCTCGGTAGAAATTCTTCTCATATGAAAGTGTGTGATGTGGCAAAAAAGATTGGGAATCCCAACGTCATAGTAAGTAACTCGCCGATGTGTCTTTTTTTTTAAGCATTATGCCCCGAGCAAGGCGTGGAGCCACAAGGATGCAGGGGGTTACAGAAGATTTGGAGCAAGAGCAGATAGGAGTGATAGAAGAAAGGATGAGGAGAGGGATAGTGGATAGATCAAGGTAACTGGAGATGTCGATTGACATTACATTTGAATAGTTGGAGATTATAGCTCTCAGGGAAACAGTAATTGGGAAGGGTGTTCCACAGGCGAGAGGTGCGAGGTATGAAGCTATTGGAGTAGAAGAGACGGCTACATTTAGTAGTTTCTACAGTGTAAGGGTGAGAGCGGGATGCCAGCCTCGTAGGGCGCTTGAATTCATGGAGTCTGGGAATCAGGGAAAGCAGCTCATCGGAGCAATTACCATGAAAGTATTTGTAGAAAAGACAGAGAGAGGCGACGGCGCTTCTGTGAGAGAGTGACTGCAGACGAGACGCCAGATCAGGGCCAATTATATTACATATCCGTCTCTGGATCTTGTCAAGAACTCCGAGGTAAACAGAAGGTGCCACAGACCATATATGGCAGCAATACTCCATGCAAGGGCGAATGGTTGATTTGTATATTTGAAGTATCGATTCCAGGGAGAAAGATTTCCTGGCGCGGCACAGAGAGCCAACTTTCCTCGCGGTGGAAGAAGCAATTGACTCAATGTATTTGTTCCATCTCAGGTCAGCAGTCAACGTGAGACCGAGTAGACGCAGGGAGTTGCTCTCGAGGAGTTGACAATCAGACATTCTAATGGGGTGCAGGGAAGGATCTTTATGGTGATTAACAGAGAGTAGTTTAGTTTTTGAGGCGTTAAAGTTGACAGGCCAATTCTTGCCCCAATTAACAACCGATTGGAGGTCCATTTCAAGACGCACGACCAGGTTAGTTTTTGTCACCGACACTAGATTTGTTTTTGAGGCAGGAGTAAATTGTAGTGTCGTCCGCGTAGATGCCATCTTGGGAATGTATGGCGTCAGGAAGGTCGTTGATGAAAAGGAATAGAGTGGGACCAAGGATGGAGCCTTGGGGAACACCTGCGTTCGTGGGATAGGAACTGGAGGAGAATCAAACGACCTTCAATTCACGGTTTGACAGGAATGATTGTATTAGATCAAACAATCGACCTGTAATACCATAAACCTGGAGCTTACGAAGAAGGCCGGCATGCCAAACCCTATCAAACGCTTTGGAGATGTCTAGGGCCACGGCACGAGCCTCACCGTTATTTTGAAGGGCTTGGTAGACGGTTTCAGTGATGGCCGTAAGCACATCAGCTGTAGATCGGGCGTAGCGGAAACCATATTGCTTGTCTGAGAACAGATCATCGGATGTAAGGTGGTTAACCACTTCGGCATTGATTAGGGCTTCGAAGACTTTGCCGAAGAGGGGTAGGAGACTAATAGGACGGTAATTAGAGGGGTTAGAGGGGTCTCCAGAGTTCTTAAAGACAGGAACAATGGATGAGGACTTCCAGCAGTCAGGTAAACAGGATTCCTTGAGGCAGTAATTATATAGTTTAGGGAGGGCGGGCGCTAGCTCAGGCGCGCATTTCTTCAAGACAATGGCTGGTATGACATCTCCACTACTATGTTTGCTTAAGTTCTATATATTGCTTAAAAATCATAATGCATTATTTAATTAGTTTCGTTATTTTGCGATACAGGTTGAGTTTCTTTTATCCTAAAACTCCAAAATCCGATAGTGCTTCAGGTGCTGACATAACTTGCCACAAATAGGAAATTTCAGAAAGCCAAGCTAGGCAGCCTACGCTGGCGCCATTTTTTTTTTTTTTTAGGCTGAGTAAAGATATTATTCAAAAGACCTGCATTTATATATTTTTTGTAAGTAGTGTATCAATATCTTTCTACATGTACAGAAAGTATAAAATATTATTTTTATGTGAAATCTTAATTTCAACACTTAAAAATCCGAGCGCGCCAACTACGACGGGGGGTTGGGGGTACATGCGGCTCATTCTTTATAAAATTTTATATGGCCCGCTATTTTCTTTTTTTAATTTAATGCGGCCTGCAATTGCACAACAAACATTTACTTTTAAAGACCATGAAATAAAAATTGTTATTTTGATGGGTATATGTCACACTAAATAATAATTTATTTCAAATTGGAAAAAAAAAAGAAATAGTAAAAATATATATATATATATATATATATATATATATATATAATTAATACTTCTGTGCCGCGCCAGGAAATTTTTCTCCCCGGAATCGATCCTTCAGATCTACAAATCAACAATTCGCCCTTGGTGTATTGCTGCCATATCTGGTCTGGAGCCCCTTCTGTTTGCCTCGGGGTTCTTGATAGGCTCCAGAGGCGGATATGCAATATAATTGGCCCTGTTCTGGCATCTCGTCTACAGTCGCTTTCCCAAAGACGCACCGTCGCCTCTCTCTGTCTTTTTTACAAATACTTTCATGGTAATTGCTCAAAGCAGCTGCATTCGCTGGTTCCCAGACTTCATGAATTCAAGCGCCCTACGAGGCTGGCGTCCCGCTCTCACCCTTTCACTGTCGAAACTATTAAATGTAGCCATATCTTCTACTCAAATAACTTCATGTCTCGCACATCTCGCCTGTGGAATTCCCTTCTCTATCCCAGGTTCCCTGAGATCTATAATCTCCAACCATTCAAATGTAATGTCAGTCGACATCTCCAGTTGTCTTGATCTATCCACTATCCTTCTCCTCGTCCTTTCCTCTATCACTCCTATCTGATCTTGCTACAAATCTTCTGCAACCCCTTGCGTCTTAGTGGCTTCCCGCCTTGCTTGAGGTGAAACGCTTAAAACCCCCCCCCCAAAACAAACTTGTTCGAATGTTCTGAATGTCCGAGCGCTTTCGGCTATACTTTTAACCATCACCAAAGATGATTTTATTTTTACTTTTAATTGAATGTATGCATTGTTTTATGTAGATATCTAGAGTTATAGGAATGTTTTATTTTCCAAACACAGTCAGCGCTTTTCTAGATAATTACACCCAGAAAAGAAGAAAATATAAGAACACAATTAAAATAAATTAAAAAAAAAATCTTAACCACAATACGTTGTAAGTCGTTTTTAATAAACTTTATATATATATATATATATATATATATATATATATATATATATATATATATATATATATATATATAGATGCATACTTATAAATATATGCATATATATATATATATATATATATATATATATATATATATATATATATATATATATATATATATACAGATATATATATATACATACATACATACATATAGATACATACATACATATAGATACATACATATATATATACATACAGACATATATATATATATACATATATATATACATATATATATACAGACATATATATGTATACATATATATATATATATATATATATATATATATATATATATATATATGTACATATATATATACATACATATATATATGTACATATATATATATACATATATATATATATATATATATATACATACATATATATACATACATATATATGTATACATACATATATATATATACATACATATATATATATATATATATATATATATATATATACATATATATATATACATACTATATATATATATATACATATATATATATACATATATATATATATATATATATATATATATATATATATATATATATATATATATATATATATATATATATATGTTTATTTTTTTACAGTGTTTTATTTCCTTCATTAGTTTTATAGTTAGTCTCTACCGCAGCCCAGGTCTGTCTTTGTTTATTTTGTGCAGACCCTTTCACCCCCATTGGATTACGAAACAAGGAAATACTCCGCCTAATGTAGAGGGAAATTTTAGAAAGACGCACCCTCGCAAATGCTCTCGTGTTTAATCAGTTTGCCACCCAAGCAGTTGAGATAAGATCGGCTTATTGATGAGAAACAGATACCGATTTCAAAACAATTAAAAAAAAAACGCTCTTTCTAAAAATAATATAAAAGAAATCAAATCAAACAGCAGAAAATAACAAGTTTTTCCGACATTTTTTTCTAATTAGATGTATTTAAGATTTTCGCAGTGTAATCAAGAATATTGTTAACCCTTCAGATATTATAAGTGTAAATATTTGCATGACTAATCCTATTCGGAAGCTTTACCCTACAAGAATGTCATTAGTTGCAATAGTCTTTTGTACCAAATACGTGTGGGGTCTGGAGAAGACATGTCAGTGGGGATTTTACATCTTATAAAATGATTGGGAATTATTGTTACTTTATCACTAGTTCCATGGTAAATATTGGTTTGGTTTCTTTGTTTAACGGCATATCAACTCCTCATGGGTCATTTAATACCGAAATTTTATTTTCTTGTGAGCTGTGATATTTTTTCTTTTCCAACTCGTTCTTTCTAATAATAATTTCTCTGGATGCCAAGACAGTTGTTGGTAGATTTATTTTTTACTTATTGTTGGTCTTTTTTTTTTTTTTTTCATAGGAGTAGAT